GCTTGCACAGAGCCACTCTTCCCCACATCTCCCTATGGGCCCACCCCCCCCACACCTTTTTTTTTTTTAAGAAATGGAAAAGCTAAGGCTGAGACACGGCTGGGTCAGTGAGGTGTCTGGCCCACAGCATGAGGACCTGCTTTAGCAATGGTTTTTGTATCACAACAAAAGCAGAAATAGAGGAAGTACATCAGACTAACAGTCTTCAGCGCTGCAAAGGAGAAAAGAAAATGAAAGGCAGCATGCAGAACAGGAAAATACCTGCGAGACATACATATAAAGGTCTTAATATTCAACCAGCATAAGGACTTCAAACAACTCAGAAAAAAAAAATGAAGAAAGAAAGAAAGAAAGAAAGGAAGGAAGGAAGGAAGGAAGGAAGGAAGGAAGGAAGGAAGGAAGGAAGGAGAAAGAAAGAAAGAAAGAAAGAAAGAAAGAAAGAAAGAAAGAAAGAAAGAAAGAAAGAAAAGAAAGAAAGAAAAGAAAGAAAGAAAGAGTGAGTCACCTGGCTAAAAAATAGAAAAAGGACCAAACAAACACTTCTCAAAACACACAAATGTCCAGTAAGTATCTGAAAGGAGGCTCAGTATCAATCACTGGGGCAATGTAATCAGACCCATGACGGGGGATTAGCCTGCATGTGTTACTGCAGCTATCAGAGAGACAGACACAGTGTCAATGGTGGGAGTCCTCGTACACTAGCATGAGAACGGAAACCAGAAGAGCCATTTTGGAAAACAGTACGGAGGTCCCTGGGCAGATGAGATGCTCAGCAGATAAACCACTTGCTGCCAAGCCTACTGTCCCGAGTTTGACACCTGGGACCAAACAATAGGAAAAAACCAACTCCTGCAGGTTGTATACACACACACACACACACACACCAATAAATAAACTAACATAATTTTTTAAAAATAACATTGAGGCTCCTCAAAAAACTACAAGTGGAATTACTATGTGATTTAGCAACCTTACTTCCGGTATTAAGCCAACAAAAGTGAGAGTAATAAAATGAAGAGTTATCTGCATTCCCAAGTTCACTGTCGCAATGTCTACAATAACCAAGATATAGAATCAACCTGTCTAGTAAATAGGTAAAGAAAGTACGATACTAGTGGTGGACACATCTTTAATCCCAGCACTTGGGAGACAGAGGCAGGCGGATCTTTGTGTGTTTGGGAGAGCCTGGTCTACAGCATTTTACACACACACACACACACACACACACACACACACACACACACACGAGTATTTAAAAGAATAAACTATATTATTTGTGACAACCAAGATAAACTTTGACATAAAGTGAAGTAAGCCAAGTGGAAAATGTCAAAGGACATAAAGTTTCAGTTGTGCAGGAGGCGTTCAGAAGCCCTGTATAGCAGGCGACCAGTGACATGACTGTCAAGTACTCCCTTTATCTAAAGTGTTTTCTCACACAATGTATTTTGATCATATTCTCCCCAGCTTCTTCCAGATCCTCCCCCTACCTTCCTACTTACCCAACCTCATGTTCATTCTGTCACTCTGTCGCTCTGTCTGCCTCAGGAAAACAATTTAAAAAAAAAAAAAAAAGGGAAATCAAAACAGACAAACCAAAAAAGTCACTAAGAAAAAAACAACAAAACAAAAAACACACATTAAGAAATATGGAGTCCATACTCCTGGGCATGGGACCCAAGAATGCGATTGATGTTATCCTTCATTGGAGAAAAGTGAGTTTCCCTTTCCCAGAGGGCATCAACGACACATGCTGTTGTTGAAAATAAATTGGTATTGGACTAAATATGTTTATTATTACTTCTATAATTATTATGCCAGTATTATTTAACCCGCTACTATAATAAAACACAAATACCTGTTAGATTTTATAATTGCCTTATTAACACCTTGGGCAAATAATTCCACCTATACAATCTTTTTTTTTTTAAGATTTATTTATTATTTATACAACATTCTGCCTGCACACCAGATCTTACTATAGATGGTTACAAGCCACCATGTGGTTGCTGGGAATTGAACTCAGGACTTTTGGAAGAACAGTGAATGTTCTTAATCTCTGAGCCATCACTCCAGCCCCCACCTATACTACCTCAATAAGCTCACCATCCACCTTCCAGGCCCCAGCCAATGCTGTCCACCTTACCCATCCTTATCTGGGCTACCTTCCATTTGTAATCATATAAATACTTGCTTATTCTGGATCACTCTTTTCCATACCACTTTCAGAGTCCTTTCTCCTAGCTCACATGGTTCCTTTTCCACAATAACCTATCTGGCTTCTTCTTCTTTCCTGTCTTCGTCTGTCTCCTTCCGGTGATTCTCCTGTCCCCAAAGCCCAGAAACCTTAGCCACGCCTACTCCTGCCTTGCCCAGCTACAGTCCTTTTTTATTAACCAAGCAGGAATATTATCTTAGGCATGTTTGCACAACAAGGGTAAGTGTGTCTGGGCAGTAACCAGGTCTTGAGGGCCAGTAATTAGGATCAAAGTACAAGCAGCAGACCAACCCCCAACAGAATACCATCTTCAGGAGTGGGGCTTGGTCCACTTCCCCTCTGAGAAGAAATTTCAAGTGTTCTATTTGGAGGGCTAGTGAGACAGCTCAGCACGTAAGAACACTTGCTGTTCTTGCCCTACATGAGAATTTGGTTCCTGGCATCCACACTGGGCAGCTCATAGCCATCTCTAACTCCACATCCAGGGACCTGACACTCTCTTCTGGCCGCCTAGGGCACTGTACTAATGTACATGTATACACAGACATACAAAATCTAAAAAAGGAAAATTAGAAAATGGTGTGATGACAACAAAGCTTGAGGCACCCTTACAGTGAAAAAAAAAAAAAAAAAAACTAATAAAGAATAAAATCAGGTCTCAAAATTTAAACTCCCCAAATATTTCAGAATACCATGACGCTGAGTGGAGTAGGAACTTGTCTTGGTTAACGTTTCTACTGCTGTGGTAAGAAACCATTGACTAAAAGCAGCACGGGAAGAAAGGGTTGATTTGACTTACATTTCCCAGAGTCGCAGTCCGTTAAGAGAAGTAAAATGGGACTCTGGAGTGCCAGCTCCTGAGTGATGACACAGAGACTTCTATTTATCACGACTGGGCAGATTCTCAACTAGTCTAATCCGACAAGAGAGATCGTGAATAGCTGGTGGCGGTGGTGGAGGACGAGGTGGCGGACAAGGGCTAAGGGCTGCGGAGGAGGAGGAAGAGGAGGCTGCAGCACACACCTTTAATCCAGCTGTTGGGAGGCAGAGGCAAAACTGGTCTACAGAGCTAGTTCTAGGACAGCCAAAGCTACACAAAGAAAGAAAACAGAACAAAAAAGAGAAGTACTGAATAATCACCTGTGGATAATATCACAAAATAAAATTTGAGATCAAATAACTAGGGGACAAACCACCACACAGACATTTGCTAACAAGTGAAGTTCCAATACCAGAGACTGTTCTGGAATGAAACACCTGGACAAATTAACTTTCCAATGACAGCTTGCAATTAAATCAACTTAAAACTGCCTAAATGAGTTACAGTGCAAACAGGGGAGCATAATTTGTTTCCCTGGACCTAAAAAAAAAGTTGAAATAACCTCAAAAATTAACATTATCTGAAGTAAAATAATTTCTACATGGCAAGTTTAGTGAAATTTTGACTTTTCTCTAAAAATAGTTTTGAATGGATCAACTGATGTCAATAGTCTTTATAGAGACACATTCTACAAGCTGTGATTTCCTCACAAACACAAACGCGCAGACACAGCTTCTTATACGTTAATCATTACAATTTTTTGGTTAAAAAAAATAAAGGTTTTTCTGTTTCAGAGATTTTTTAAAAACTTTTATTTGGAGTTTCAAATGCACATAAGTACAGTAATATCTGCAGGTAGATGAGGCAATTTTTGCAGACCAAAAAAAAAAAAAAAATCATGAATTCCAGGCCAGCCTGAGACACACACTGGGAGACACTACAGCGAAAACTTGTCTCACAGACACTGGTGAGGAGCAAGGGAAAGAAGGGAGGCAAAGAGAAGCAAGGAGTGAGAGGCCATTCTTACACCTATCTACAGTGTCTCTACAGCTCCCTCTGCTGGACACCAACTAAGGGAGAAAAAATGTAGACCCATTGGGAAACGACAGATGAAACTGTGGTCATTCAAATAAGGTCCCGTCTGCCAGTCTTGAACGGTTCAATACTTGGTCCACAGTTGGCGGCTGTCTAGGGAATATTGTGGAGATGTGGCCTTGCTGGAGGAAGTATGTCACAGGGAGCAAGCTTTGAGGTTTCAAAAGACTTGTGCTTTGTCTGTGGATACGTGAGCTCTCTGCTACTGCTCCAGGAGGCTGCTGTCTACTATCTCCACTCTGTCCTGGACTCTAAGCCTCTGGAACCACAAGTGCTGAATAAACTCTTCCATCTGTAAGTTGCCTTGGCACGTGCTTTATTACAACAGCCATAAAAAAGTAACATCATGTGACTCATAACTGCATAATCTTGGTTTGGTTTGATTTTTGAGACAGGGTTTCTTTGGCTATCCTGGAATTAAAGACAGGCACCACTACCTCCCAGCTAAATAAATATAATTTTTATATCTCAAAAATAAACATATACACCCTAGGGGGATCTTAAAAGGGCAAAATGTCTGTCTACCCAAAAATATCTAGCAAAATGACTCAGTGGTTAAGAACACTTGCTGCTCTTACAGAGGAAGTCCAGTTCCCAGTAAGTGGCTCAAAGCACCTGTAACTCCAAAAGACTCATTCTGAAAAGAAGTCATTAAACAATGACTCACTTCCCCAAGGCAGCTGTGGATATTTGAACCAGACTGGGGAGAAAGAGTGAAAAGAAGTAACGTTGCTAAAAAGTGTGAAGAGGTTAATCACGACACTGGTATGCCAAAGGGCAGGAAGCGTAAGGAATAATGACTTAACACTGGAAAAACTGGCTGAAATACTTTGAGACTTCACTATACCACACCATTCATAATCTACTCACTTTCAATATTAAGGTTTATTTTTTCCAGGATGAAGTAACAGTTTAAATAATTACCAGAATTATGTATAAATGAACATTCATTCAGACAAAACATCACTGTTTACAAGTAGCTATGAAATATTCTGCATGTAATAAATATATCTTGTGTTTAGGTTAACAGGCACCATCTTGATAACAGAAACATTTTTTTAAACCAATAAATAAACATTCAAGAAAACAAGGTGTTTATATCTGAAATATGATACAGCCTTAAATGCTTTTCTTCATATAGCACCCAGATTTTCAAATTGTCTAGAAAGTTTCTGAAAATATAACTCCTACCTTAAATCATTAAAATAGCGGCCAAGAAAAAGGTCAATTGAAGACAGAATTTACAATCTATATTCGTAATTCTCCATTCAATAAAATATCAATTACCAATTTATTAAAAGTCAATGGATTGTATATATGCAATCTGTTACTGATGAAAGCCTGAAATATATATATATATTTAAAAGTCACTCTTTTGACAGTACTTAAAATATTGCATTTCTGGTGCAAACCTGAAAACTATGACGCATTTTAATTGCCCTAGTTTTTGTGCGCCCACCTTCAATCTGTAACTATCCATCCAGTTTTGGAGGCTTTTTCTGGTAGGGTTTTTGTTTTGTTTTGTTGTTTTTGTTTTTTTGTAAATACATTTAGTTATATCCCAACACAAAACACTGATAATAATCCTTGGTAAACAAGGAAATGCCAGCCAAGTCTAAACACACAGCTTTGCTCCCGAAGTGCGGCACCAGACTAGATAACAGAAAGAACAATCAATGGCCCTCATTCATAAGTCAGAATGCTCCTGGGAGTCCGCAACTGTTTGAGAATTTGCTGATGTAATCCTGAAGAAAGTGGCAACAGATTTTGTAGACAAATATCAGAGAATAAGTCTTTGATTGATAATTTTTCTATTTATTTCTGCCAAGGCGACTGAAAACACGAAAGCCTTTTCATCAGAGAGGTTAGCATAGATGTCAATTTCCTTTTCCTGTTTTTCTGTTGAAAGAAAAAGGGAAAGCTTAATACAAAGGTAGCAGGTGCAGCAGCTTAAAAACATTTTTGAGGCTTTCAAGTATTTAAGTGACAAATATATATGATGCTATAATATATAGTTCTACTAAACTGAAACTTAAAAAAAATGACACAAGAGGTTTGAAATGAAGACTAAGTGGAGACTATAATTTTATTCATTTACTAATATTATATAATTTCTGTAAAGACCTCCTATTTTTCTCTCCCTTCACTAGTATGACTGTCTCTGTCAAGAAGTTTTCACCCTAGAGGCACCCCTTGGGACAGCAACAGTAACTTTCAGAATATAGGAACACCTCCACCTGAGGCTCCTAAGGAAAAAAAAAAACACCAACTTTGCAGCTGCTACTTCTGCTCTACCCAGTGACAAATGCAAATCATGTTCAAAGCAGAAAATTTGAAAATTAAGCAAAAGAAACAACCCCTACAGTCATTAACCAGCTAAAACATCTTTGTATATGTGTTCCAAATTATTTTTCATATTTTACAATAATTCTATTTTTGTTTTAATATTTTGCTATCTGAATCAAAGTTAAGCACATACAAAATTTGGCCAATTTATTCTGACAAAATTTCATTTAAAAAATGCATTCCTATGTGCACATTTCTTAATTTCCAACTACTTTCCCCGTCAGTTGTTCCTTCCTGTTTTTATAAACAAATCTGTATCCACATAAAACTCTCAGATAGTCCTTCTTCAATTTTCTGCATTATCCATTTTCAAATTTTTTTTTTGCATTATCCATTTTTAATTTAGGAAAATAGTATTTTACTGTTCACATGTCTTATTCCCAGCTCAAACACTCTGCTTATCCCTTCATCTTCTTATATTTAAATCACAATTCTACTAACATTGATTTTCAATGTCTACATTATGACCATGTGAGTGATTTACTTTTCCTGAAGTACCAGTGTTCTCTGAAGTCCTATTTATTTAACTGTGCATGCACATGTGCGTGTGTGCCCTTGTGATAATGCACACAGGCGGAGGTCAAGGATGACTTCTTCTCCCCCCCACCCCCGTGTGTGTTTCAAAGATCAAACTTAGGCGGGCAGGCTCGGCAGCAAGGGCCTTTACTGCTGAGCACTTCACCAGCCCCAAGAGTCTTTTATTTGCTTAGTGCTCATTTCTAAGTCAACTCAAACTCTCTTCCAGTTGTACAAGTCTTTCAAAAAGTTCACACATAATTTTATCTTTGTGGAAAGATCTTTCCAAGTGTCCCAAAATGCTTCATCTGAAATGGCTGCTCTCTAGTCTTGCAAGGCAATTATCACCCCATGATCCTTCTTCAAATGGAGACTCTCCTTATCTGAGAATGTTGCTCTTTGTCCTAGATCCCAGAATCCTTTCTTGGCTCTCTTCTTCACTGTGGTGTGTGCAACTTTCAGTAGCTTCCTGAGAAAGGAGTATGGGTAGCAGAAACCGTGGATTTCAGAAAGTATCATTAGTCTATTTGCACAATAAATTGTAATCCAGTTGAAAAGATTTTAAATTTCTTAGAATTATTAACAAAATAAATTGTCTTTTGACTACTGGTATCACCGCTGAGAAAATTCAACGCTTTTTAAGCTATTTTTTTAAGTTACTGCTATATTTATATGTCATAACCTGATGTACAAATCCTCTAGAATCCACACGTGTTCTGACAGATGCATATATTCATGCAACCCAAATGTTTGTCAAGACCTGTTGGTTTGACTGCAAAACACCTCCCAGTCTTGGGATTTGAACACTTGTTCCCAGCTGGCTGGGGAGTTCAGGGGTGCAGTCTCGCTGGAGGAAGCATGACCCTGTGGGGTAGGCTCTGAGTTAAAAGGTTTGCTTCAAGCTTGCAGGGAAGGCTGTGAACTTCTGCCTCCTGTGTGTGCCTGCCACACTTCTCCACAATGTGGACTCTTATCATTCTGGAAGCATAAGCAAAACTCTTCCATACGGCACTTTTAGTCACAGTGTTTTATCACAGCAGCAGAAAAGTACGCACCAATACAGAAACTACCCTACAAGAGTCCGTGTGTTCTCCCAGTCACTCTCTCCCTAGCCACATGGATTTTGTTTGTTTTTAAACTTAAAATAAATAGCAATCATATACTGTATGGAGTTTCTTTTCTTCTGTTTTAAAACTTCTCAGTGCTATTCATACAGAAGTGTATGTTCCTTGACAGGCAGTACACCACTGCACTCACTCAAATATATTGACTATTCTTTTTGTCTAAAAATCCAGTTTTTTTTTTTTTCTTTAACCAAACAGTGATGATATGCTTTGTTCTGATTTTTTGTTTTTGCTTTTGTCTTGTTTTTAGAGACAGGGTTTCTCTGTGTAGCCTTGGCTGTCCTGGAACTCACTTTGTAGACCAGGCTGGCCTCAAACTCACAGAAATCCACCTGCCTCTGCCTCCTGAGTGCTGGGATTAAAAGTTTGCAGCATCACGCTGGGCCTACTTTGTTTTGATTTTTTAACCTTCCACTGGATTGGGAATTTCAGGGGCCCTTTAGTGTCTTTCAGGTTTGGAAAGATTTCTAAAATTCATTAACAATTTCCTTGTCTTCCATCTTCTACATTCTTTTTTCTGAAACTATTTACAGATGTTACTTTCAAATTGGTCCTTTTAAGTTTTTTATCTTCTTCATTCTATTTTCTCCATTTCTTCCTACTTCTATACTTCCTGGATTCTTTAATTTTTATCTTTGAACCTATTAAAGCTTTTCATTTTGTGACTCACGCATGTTTTGGAGTTTTTCAGTATTTTAAAGTCAGTATTTTGAAAACTATTTTCTAGGTGTGCTTTGCCTTTTACCTACACTGCCTTTCAAGTGTCACATAGTTCCTCTTTCCTGGGCATTCTCTACCAATTATCTTTTTCTCCTTTTAATTTATTCTTGACCTTTTCTACTAGATGCTTTCTTCTAGAGATCTTGGTAATTTATGGTGATTTGTTCATATTTAAAAGTATTTTTAAAGGCAATTAGAAGAAGCATGTGAGAAGCCTGGCTCTAGTTTTGAAATGCATATGGTCTCCCAGGCGCTTCCTTGTGAACTCCTAAGTAACAGTGTGAGCTGTGGGCCTTTTCTCCTGAGCAAGACTGCTCCTGACCTCTCCTACCTGGAAGATACAAACCCAGTCAGAGTTTGGTATTTACTGTGTTAAATCTCGGTATCCCTGGGCTTTTGCATACTGTCTTTGCTCCTGTCCTTGTCTGGTGTTCCCTAGGCCAAGACTGCTTTTTCTTTTCCTCTTCAAAGCATCAACTTGATGGGTAGAGAACTTTTCCCTTTCCATTTTCTCCTCTTCCTAGTCTCTCTCTCTTTCTCCTCAAATCAAAAAGCAAGAAGTCAACTAAATTATTTTTATTCAGTGTCAGGTTTTTTTTTTAATTCATTGTGTTAAAATTAAATTTTAATTTAAAATTAAGTTTACTTCAAGGTTTTCAAGTTCCTGGGGAGCAAAGGACCAATAAAGATAGAATAAATTAAACTAAACAGCTGCTTAGCAGTACAAAGCATTACCTAAGAAGTCTTTTGTAAGATGCACAGGCATTCCTTGTTGTGTTATATTTAAGGACAATGAACTATATCAAGATGGTACCAAGCCTCACCCTCCTGCTTTTATGAAGTCTTAGTACAAAACAGCTTTATGCACTCACACATTGCTTATAGCTGTTTTCCAGAGTTCAGGAGTAGAGACAGAGAGACCACTGTAGGGACCACAAAGCAAAAAATATTTACTTTTGGACTCTACACAGGGAAAAATACCTATAGTTTACTGAGGTCCCGATGTACATAATTACTTTACTCCAGAAGTGATAAGATTTGCCCATAGTCCCAACTCTTAGATGCTAATATAGAAAGATCGTAAGTGAAGGGAGTTGGTTAGAGAGCCTTGGCTAATGGCAAGATGCCATCTTAAAAAAAAAAAAAATCCAGATTATACCATTAAATTTCCTGAAATTTTTATCAAAAGAAAAAATTAGTAATTTGGCTTCTGGGGATTTAGTTCTGTATAAGAATCCTTGTCTAGCAAGTGCAAGGTCCTGGGTTCAAGCTCCCAAACTGGGGAACTGGGGGAACAGTGGCTATCTTAGGAAACAGATCTACCTGTCTCTGTCTCCCAGCTGCTGGATCAGAGACATGCAGCACCACTCCTAACCGAAAAGATAATTAAAGAGAAAATATCTAAAAAATATCCACTGCCAAATAAATGCTTCTTTTTCAAGTAAGAATAAATGTCAATGTTGCATACATGGAACACATACATGGCCAACAAGATAGTCTTTGTTTCCCCGACTGTCCTCACCCACTGTAACTGCATACTCAAAACCTTTCCTTCCTCATTTCTTCAGCTACATTCCTTTTATTTTAATTGAAAACAATGTTCTGTTTCTTGAGCAAGCAGAACTTTTTTTCTTCTCTGTGGACTTTGCTTGCCCAGTTTCTATTCCAAAACAGTCTTTTAAATAATATTTTTCTGGTGACTTCATTGCTAAAGAAGCATATTTAAATTAAGTAAATAACTCAAAGTAGCTGGAAGAGTGTAACAGAACAGAAAGAAAAAAAAAGAGTAAGATTACTCAAAGAATTGAGAAATATCTAAGTGAAGACTTTATACAATAGTTCATTATGATACAAACTTTATTTCTTTAATGGCATAACATCAAGACACTTTTCAAGCTATATAACAGAGAAATCATGAATAATTCTGTCTCAAATAACATTTGAATTTTTATAGAAAATATCTGTATACCTAAAATTAAGTGTTTGCAAATTGTAACTAACAAATAACAATTACAAATATATTTTACTGAAGATGAAATTGTGTTGGTTGAGGGTTTTAAATAAATATAAAGACCTGCTTTTAAAAAAGTACATTCACTTGTACTGTTATCTGAAAGAAGTCACAAATACAATTACCTTTGAACTTTTTTTACCACCAGTTTATAACAATGTGGATTTTATCTAATGTAACCCTTTAGGTGTCTAGTAAGAATTTGAGTTTTAATTTGTTTTTATTTTAAAAAGAAGAACATAAGGGCTCAGAGTGTGGATCAGTAGTAGAAGTTTATCTGGCCTGTGTACTGGGCTCAAAACTCAGTACTAAAATAAAAAATACAAAAGGCTTTTAAACCAAAATATGAATTGTGATTTTTTTTTTTAATGTCTAAGAGCTCAAACCTTCCATTATATTCACTACTATTATCTAATTATGATCTCTTGTCAGCTTAACACTTGAAAAAGGACTGCTGGGATTTAGTCATACCTCTTTCTTCCTCGTGTTTTTTGGCAGATGTACTTTTAGGTCTTCCTCTTCCTCGTCTGATATGGTCTGAATGGCTGTTACTTCGAGATCTCTTTCTGTTTTCTAAATCTTTATTTACTGTAGAATTTATCTTCTCTCTCCTAACTCTTTCTGTTCGCCTCCTCTTGGCCTCATGCTTGTTTTCTGTATGAATAAAAGTGATTTATTTTAGGGCTTCAAAACAACTGTCTGCCCAAGATCTCACCACCTTCCTTCTTCTTCCTGGCATATTTTGTACATCTGTGAAACTCTAGTCATATCTCACCCATACTCACACAGAACAAAGAAACAACAGGATTCCGATCTACGCAAGTTAGGGAAAAACTTGTGAGAGAAAACAAATGTCTTCATTTGCAGCTTTAATTTAAGCTCCTGTAAATTTAAACTACACAACAACCCTTTCTCCTTTTTTCATCACGTTTCCAAGTTTAACATAGTGAAATACACAGAGGGGGTGGGGTTAGATCCATTGCTTCCTGCTCCTTATCTAAATTACAGACAGTATGTCAAATGTATAGAAGCAAAACTGGCGTTAGGTACAAAAAACCAACTACAGAGCACCCATATAACATATTTCTAAAACACAGAAGATAAGGAATTTTCACTTAACCCACAAAGAAGGTAATCACTGATATAACAGAATTTTGTTCCATAAACGGAACAAACAATCCAGGTACTTTACTAATATTTCATTACTATAAGAAGCCACTCCCCTATGCCAAACAAATCAAAATGTTAGATTAAAATATTCTTTACTTCAAAATTTTACTTCAAAATTCTTTTACTTCAAAAATTAGAAAGCTACCTTTCAAATACCTAAAATTACAATGGTAAAAGGGGGAAAGATGGAGACTTCAGGACCAGTCTGAGCTATACAGTGAGAGTATCTTTAAGGGGGGAGGGGACCATAGCGGCACATGCCCTCGGGAAGCAGAGAAAAATGGATCTCTGTGCGTGTGAGGACAGGCTGAAGCCACAGTTTCAGAACAGCCAGAACTACACAAAGAAACCCTGTCTCAAAAAAGAAGTGTGGGGCTGGAGAGATGGCTCAGAGGTTAAGTGCACTGGCTATTCTTCCAAAGGTCCTGAGTTCAATTCCCAGCAACCACATGGTGGCTCACCACCATCTATAATAATACCTGGTACCCTCTTCTGGTGTGCATCTGTGCATGCAGGCAGAATATTGCATAAATAATCAATAAAAATAAATAAAAAAAAAGAAGGGGAGCTAGAGAGGTGTCTCATCAGTTAAGAGCACTGTCTGCTCTTCCAGAGGACCTGGGTTCAAATCCCAGCAACCACATGGCAGCTCAGACCTGTCTGTAACTCCAGTTCCATGGGATCTGACACCTTCACACAGATAATACAATCAGGCAAACATAAATAAATTAAAAAATAAATAAAAGAAGTAAAAAAAAAAAAGAAGAAGTGAGTGGGAGGGAAATCAAAATTAATTTCCTCTATATGTCATTGCAGAATAGTTTATCCTAGGCCTAAGACTCAAGAATAACAAGAATATTCAGTTATTCCAGACTGCAAAAAAGTTATCGACTATAATTGAGGACTTTAATATTAAAGAGGCAAGGTCACCAGGCACAGCGGCACAGGCCTGTAATCCCAGCACTTGGGAGGCAGAAGCAGGAGGAGTTTGTGAGTTTGAGGCCAGCTTATGAGCTTTCAGAGGGGAGGACTCTGAAAGGACTCACCTGGGAACTGGGCTCCAAGCCACGTTTGTTAAGTTGTGGCAAAGAATCTGGCTACATTCTAGACCCATACTGAGATGCTGAACAAGACTGAATTCAAGACTAATGAATTAACTTATTTGTCAAGGAAATTTCAAGCAGGATAACATTCAGGCTATGTAAGTTTCTGTTCTACAAAAAAGAGAACAAGTGAGGCAGAAAGACAGAAAACAATGTGCAGGCTTGTGAGGAAGGGAATGTGAGCTTAAAGTTATAGACAATGATGGTGCGAACAACGCATCCTTAATTGTTACACAAATTAGTGTCACTAGAAAGAGACTTCATACTCTGCAATGGATCAGAAGGGTCACCCGCTTAAGGAAGGCCCTGTCTTGTGAAAACATAAAATCACCTGAATGGGTAAGAACTGAATTGGGAATGCTGACCTGGGAGTGCTGTCTAGGAAAACACTTGTAATCTCAAAGGCAAAAGGTGGATTCAACTCTAGTTCACAGGAGTCAGGCTACATCTTCAACTGGAAGTAGGACTTTGTACTAGCTTTGCAGGAATGAAAAAAGCAAAAGGAAGGTGTCTTTTCCGCACAGCCACTGAGGCCAGGCAGAGTGACAGGGCTGGGTGCCCAAGGACACAGCCTGAGCTGCAAGGACCGTGGGACTCTGAGCTCCTGAAAAGACAGTGGCAGGCTGGCAGGACAGTGAGCCAGTGGGAGGCTGTGTGCTACAGAGGACAGTGCTCAGACGGCTCCATCACAGCACAGACGCCAGACACGGAGCTGCTGGATGGGGCTTTCCCTGGAGGACTTCAGTCTTGCTGTGGTCTGATGTGTTCTTGCTTAGCCTTCATTTCTTCTTTTTGGAATATGTACTGTGCCACTGTACTCTAAATATGTAAGCTGTAGGGGTGCTGTTTTATTTTTATAGGGCTCAGTTAATAGACTCTTGAGTCTTAACAGACACTTTGCCTTTTGAACAGTGCTGGGACTGTCAAATGCTATCAAGACTTCTAAGGTTGGAATAGATGGATGTTCCATAATGACATGGCCATGAGCATAGAGGTCCAGGAGCAGAATGTTGTACTTTAAATGTGAAATGGTTCCTATAAGTACAAGTGTTTGAGCACCGTGTTCTAAGTGCTTTTCTGGAAGGTTGTGAAATATTTAGGGAGGTGAGGTCTTCTTTCTTAAAAAAAAAAAGTAGATGACTGTGGGGATGCTTTAAAGCTTTATAGTCTAGCTCCACTTCCTACTATTCTGTTTTTTTGACTTCACACTCCTACTTTCCATGCCTTCCTTGTCCTGATGGAACACACCTCTTAAAACTGTAAGCCAAAATAAACCCTTATCCCTTATTGATTCTTGTCAAATATTTTCTTACAGCGATAATTAATATAGTGACCAAAAATGAAGAAAACACCCAATAAATCTGTAACAGACCTAGGCAGAACTGTTATTTACTTATTTGGGGAGCTGTTGTTTGGGCGTTTGTTTGTCTGCTTGTTTTAAGACAGGGTCATTATGTAGCCCTAGCTGTCCTGGAACTATCTAGACTAGGCTGTCCTAGAACTCAAAGAGATCCAATTGCCTGTTTCCCCAGTGCTGGGATTAAAATGGTATGCCACCACACCCAGCCTGACAGAAATGTTAGCAAGTAATATTACTCTCTCAAGACTCTCTTGCAAGGAAAGTGGTCAGAAAACTAGCTCTGACCAATAATACATTTAGTGGAACTGGTAAGGTTTCCACAGAGTTTTTTCTTTAAGCATGGCTAGTATGTCCCTTTATTCTTCCGCCCTTCCACTTTCTTCCTGCTGGGAATGTCTATGGGACACACAGATGCAACAGTTACCCTATAATAAGTATGACAGCCCCATCTTTCCTTGAGAGAGAAAGGAGCCCAGCCCTCGCCCTTCACCATAGTCACTGCAGTATTAACTGAGTGGTCTGTAACACTGACATATAGTCCGCTAAGTACACAGGAGTAACAGAGAGGACAAGGAAGAAAAAAAAGAAACTGATTTTAAACTAAGTTGCAGCTGAGTTGATAAGAGTATTTGCCTGGAATACAGAAGGACCTGGGTTTGACCTCCAGCACCACCCATCATTTCAGGTGTTTGAGAAGAGAGTTGCTGGAACTCACCTTTGGTTACAAAGTGATCTTGAGCTGAACTCAGGATACATTCTACCCTGTCTTTAAAATTTAAAAACTGACGCCTGCCTACAGATTGGGAAAGAATCTTCACTAACTCTTTATCTGACAGAGGACTAATATCCAGTATATACAAAGAACTAAAGAAGCTGAAGAGCAGCAAACCAAGTAATCCAATTAAAAAATGGGGAGCAGGGCTAAACAGAGAATTCTCGACAGAGGAATATCGAATGGCAGAGAAACACTTAAAGAAATGCTCATCCTCATTAGCCATCAGGGAAATGCAAATCAAAACGACCCTGAGATATCACCTTACACCCATCAGAATGGCCAAGATGAAAAACTCAAGGGACAACACATGCTGGAGAGGTTGTGGAGAAAGGGGAACCCTCCTCCACTGCTGGTGGGAATGTAAACTGATACAACCACTCTGGAAATCTATCTGGCGCTTTCTAAGACAATTAGGAATAGTGCTTCCTCAAGACCCAGCTATACCACTGCTAGGTATATACCCAAAGTTTGCTCAAGTACACAAAAGGGATATTTGCTCAACCATGTTTATAGCAGCATTATTTGTAATAGCCAGAACTTGGAAACAACCCAGATGTCCCTCAACGGAGGAATGGGTACAGAAATTGTGGTGTTTTTACACAATGGAATACTACTCAGCAATCAAAAAGGAGGAAATCATGAAATTTGCAGGCAAATGGTGGGATCTAGAAAAGATCATCCTGAGTGAAATATCCCAGAAGGAGAAAGACAAACACGGTATATACTCACTTATATAGACCTATAAGATACGATAAACATAATGAAATCTATACACCTAAAAAAGATAATCAAGAGAGCGGACATGGGGTAAGATTATCAATCCTCGTTTTGAAAGACAGATGGGATGCGCATTGAACATTGACAGGAGTCTACTGAGCACATTTGAAAGACTCTAACTAGCAGTGTTTTCAAAACAAGGACTCATGGCCAAACCTTTGGCAGAGTACAGGGAATCATAAGAAAGAAGGGGAGTTAGTCTGATGAGGAAAGGATAGGAGCTCCACAAGGACCAAATATATCTGGGCACAAGGTCTTTTCTGAGACTGACATGCAACCAAGGACCATGTATGAATTTAACCTAGAACCTCTGCTCAGATGTAGCCTGTGGTAGCTCAGTAACCAATTGGTTTCCCATAGTGAGGGGAACAAGGACTATTTCTAACAGGAACTCAATGAGTGGCTCTTTGGCCTCCCCACCCCCCAAGGGAGGAGCAGTCCTGTTAGGCCACAGAGGAGAGCTTTGCAG